CTTTCTTCTGTGTCTCACAGCAGCTGTGTGGGATGTAGCATTGAAAGGCTATGTAATCTCAATTTTGTAACACTGTGCATGGTATGAAATGTCGGGAATCAAATGGACAGGCATACCAAAAACTGTTTTTCTTGTTGCTTTCTCCCTGCAAAGACTCTTAATGGAGGTGTGGGCTTTTCTGAGTAGATCTGGTATTGTGATTTGAGTCTGAGTTTGGCCAATAATAATACATAGAGTATGTCTAATTGAGAATTGTGTTGACAATAAATACTTTATTCTGTAAGATTTTCAGACATGCAAATTATCAATTATATGTTGTTTTCCTCAACTCTTAGGGTTAGGGGTGAAGATGCAATTATGCCATTTGTTGTATTCATCCTGGTGCCAGTCGGATATACAGTTTTTTCATCACCACTATTATAATATTCATTGTTTCCTCTGTCAGTTAGATTCATTCAGTCATGGCAGTTCAGGGCCTTAGTTTTTAGTGCCACAGCTAGGTCTGGGTACATTTAATTTAATGTGATGTGTTATTGTCATACTATGGCAGCAGTTAAAACCCATACAGTTTGTGGTGTGGTGAGGTTGAGTGTGGTGTATTTGACAGAGTTGGTAGTTCAGCATGCCAAGATGCCACCAAAATGTTTGAAAGTTGGCTGTACTGCACGCCTGTCGTAAAAAGGGTATCAAACGCAGAACTCTTTTGGTATCAGTGCCACTTTAAGGGTACGGGTATTGGTACTGCTATTGTAATTTTTAAACAATACCAAGCTCTAGACACAGCAGTCCCTGGCCTCATGTTACTGAATTTAAAAATGATTCCAATAGAACCACTTAGTGAGGTTCAGATATTTTAAAATTTGAAAAACAAAGACCATTGATATGGCTAGGTACTGAAGACCATTGCGACCATGACATGAAACAAACCATTGCTTTTGAAAGTAGTGCTACAGAATTTCTAACTGGCTGAACGGCCACCATTTAAGGAGGGTAACCTTCCAAGTGGGAAGCCGACATCTAGAGTGCGCTGCTGCCTCTGAATGAATAAATGCTACTAGAAATGGAGCATTGCATTAGTTCAGACATAGAACTGAGGTTGTAGTTGCATAAGCTGGTTGGCATCAGCAGCATTCACAACTCATTTATTAGCTGCTTGACCAGCTGACCAGTAATATCAAGTCATATTTTTACAGGTGTACATACTTTTTTTATTGTCCACTGTTCCTGCCTCCACCAACCCAACCTTTTCATGTGCTAGGATTTTAGTTTTGTTGAGTTTACAAAGATCTCACTGTTTATGTGAGTATCAAGGGCCACAAACAGTTGAATTTGGAAATCACATTTTGCCATGCAGGATCAGTTAATCTTACTTTTGTGCCACTTTTTCAAAGCAAAATTGGATCAGATGACCAAATCGAGATAACTAGTGCTCTAAGTGGGACTCAAGTTTACTAGCTATGTAAAAAACAGCAGGTAGAATAGCCAGTCTGGGGTCACTTTAAGTGTTTTTATTTGAGGAGACAGAAAACAGCACAGGGGATGCAACTGTTAGAATCTACTTTTGACTATGTCGTTAGAATTAATATAAAGTGATAAATGAAAGATGAATTACATAATTTTTATTTGCTATTGACAGCTGTCTGGGTGATCATTTTATGGGGACGAAATAATTTACTTTTTTATTTTTACTTTAATGCACTGAAAGGCTTAGTAGGTAGCTTAAGGACTACTCAATGTACTTTGAATTTAATGGTTAAACAAATAAAATACAAAATATAAATAAATGTATATTCAACCAACTTTTTGACCAAAGGTTTTATTGCATTTTGTTCCTGAAATCCCTTAATCCGCCCTTCTGCTTGATTGAGATAATTCAGATTTTTTTTGGGATCAAAGGCATCCCAATCCTACTAAAAAGTTGAACAATGCATACTGAATGTTTGATCGAGATCAAAACCAAGACTGGAGTACATCATCTACTCTCATTTCAGATTCCTTTTTTTCCCGTTTTGAACAACCCTTTTTAAGTGTTGATCCAATCCAAGCCGAAATCCAATCAGAATACCTCTGAACAACTGGGCCAGGGGGATTATTTCTCCCTGCAAAATAATTCAGTTATTTGAGACTTTTCTGAAATTATGTCATTTATTCTCCAAATCTCACTAAAACCATTTGCTATACATGGGCAGTCCTTTGACATAACTGTTTCTGACTGACGAAATATTGTTGAACCATGAAACGGATTAGATACGCAAAGAAAATCTTAAGAACTTTTGAAGATGTAGCTTGGTCAGAAAGGGATCTTTTTGTAGTTGGATGGTACCAGAATCTGCAATATCTCGTAAAATGGGTTTTCTTCTGACCCTGACTAGTTCTGTAATTCCACAGCACTAACCAACCTTTTGCTGCTGTACACAAATGACCTTCCTGCTGCGTTTCATGCCACCTCTGTTCAAGCTTTGCTGCAGTCCCAACACGCATCAATTCGCAGCCAATGCATTCTTGATTAGGCGTGGACACAGTAATTGTTTTCATTGCCTCGGATTGGAACGACATTGAATTTAATGTGGTCCATCGATCTTTTGTTGGGGGGAAATTGGGTTTGTTACCAGCGTTGTAGATCTCTCATGGCCCATGTGTTAACCTTTTATACTCTCTCTCCCTCACTACATTTTTCTCTCCAATCTCACTCTATCTCTATCTTGCCCCATCCTCTGTTCTTCATCCTCCTGTCTTATTCTCCTACCCTTTGACTTTTAATCTCTCCCTCTTTCTCTTTCCCTCTATCTGTCTTTCCTTTTATTTCGCACTCCTTCCTATTCTTTCCCCACTAACTATTTTTCCCCATTCACCTCCTCTAATTTGCTTTCAATTTAAAAACTCAATTAACATGATTGCTTATCAGAAACGATACTGCCATGGCACTATAACACTGACAAATAGCTGAAAGATGTAACCAGCAAATATTTGGTATTTTTACTTCATAAATGACTTAAAAGATTAGGTGATTATCAATATTGCTTATTTTTTTGTCTGTCAGCTAATTGATTTTCTTTAAGAGGTCATTTAGAGGTGTTACTCTTACTTAGTACTTACTTAAACTCTCTCTACTGTCTGTCATTGCCAGAAGCCCCAGAAATCTACCAATTAGATCTGTTAGGTCGGGAAAAACAGTGCTCTCTTTCTATTTCGTGCTGTGCTGTAAAACAAACAAGCAGATTTGTAAAAGAAATGGAGCCGAGGAGTTTTGTAGAAGCTTTTTCTTCCCTCTAAGTGAAAGGTACCCTGGTTTGTTTTTTGTTGACAGTTTAGCAGAGTTTACATTCAGTGTTTCTCACCAAAGCACATTAATGCACAGTATCCTTGATCCCTCACAGGTTACTACACTGAATGCATTTCCTCCCACATAAAACATTTGCAAAGTAAATTTCTGGAACAATTTGTCTTTGCTTTTACAACACGAAAATTAAATGACTACATGCAATGTTGCTTCATATCTACTGTATATGTTTAAAGGCAACTGTTTGCTGACATTTTCACCATGTCAACTTTATAAGATGAAAAAATGTCTGTTGTTTTTACTTCTTGTTGTTATGCGTCTTGTTGCATGACCACTACCAGTTGTAAGTGGAATAGTGTGAAACCATCAGTGGGACTGTTATGTCACCTATGAGCATGTGCATTTATAGTAGAGCACAAGCTACAAACAGAACAGGGACCCAGGCTTTCAAAACCAAGCATGTCAGCACAATACATCGGTGCCAAGTTCTGAAAATGTAACAGAACTTGTAGGAGATCTAAAGGTACCTATGGTACCTGGGATGCAATTCTTCTGGACCTGACAGGAGGGCATATACACTTACAAGTGTTCTAGTCTGCTGTTAAATACCAGAGGCGGAAGAAAGATGACAACAAGTGCAGCAGTGGCGACAGCTCTGCGTTGACTTTTTCGAAGAATATAGTATGTAGTGTTTTCCTGAGGTCAGCGTATTTTGTTAATTCTTTGCCGTGGGAGTGCCACGTATTTATGCCCTGCTACAATGGCAGCAGCATGACAAGGCGCTAATCCTCTATCCTGTGCAGAGCGCTGTACATCTGGGCTTTTTTTCTGGTTGCTGAGAGTTGAAAAACGTTCAACTTTGGGTAAAACTTTGCACTTGTTACTGTCACTTTTTACCCAGCCATCCAACCACAGTGGAGGAGGGGTGGGGCGAATAGCCTACCACAGAGATCAGTCATGACATTTTACATAGAAATATATTAATATACTATTGGCTGTATATATTAATATACGTATCCTCAGCCACAAAATCTCATAAAACCACATAGACTAGTACTTTGCATTCGAGGCAGATCAAATCTAAATGTTTTTAATGAAGGAGTGTATGTTTAAAAGCATGGAATTTATTGTTTTGTTTTTGTTTATTATTATAGTATAAAATTAGGTATTGAGAATCATGGAATTTTACTGGTATTTGTATCAATTACTAAATGTATTGTATCATGTCCTGACGTGCCTACTCAAAACAATGCACCATAGTGTCACTGCTGATGAAAAACTCCAAAGGGTCCCTTGAAACAAGAAAACTTTCCATTGAAATCCAGGGTATTGGATTTTTTTGATTTATCTTCAGATCAAACACTGTCACCCCAAACTTCCACTCATTGGTTGGGATAATTGCAGGACATACTCTATGGCCTGCATAATAATGCAATCATTTTACAAAAACTAATCATCTTGAATGAAATCTGCAATGGAATAGTTTTATACTCTGTAGCTGTGCTAAAACATATGGCCAGTGGGTGACTTGGACTATTTAATATACTACTTTTTAATAGAGGTCAGAATCGCTTTTTCTGTATCAAACTTAAATAGACATGTCATATTCTTGCACATAATTGCAATATACTATAATAGTTTCAAATTGAGAACACATAGAAGCTGTGGCAAATTGGACATTATATTAAATCTTTTTTTTCACCTTTCTCTTTGTCTGCAGGCGGAGTGTAAAGCCAGTCCCAAGGAAAGCACAGAGCCGGCTGTGGACCTGCTGGGCCTGGGTAAGACCAACCCTCCGCCAACTTACAATATAATAACCCTCGGACAATATAATAACTTGTCAAACCATATTCACATGACTGCCTAATGTGTCAGATTAAACCAATTATCCTGGATGACGTAATGCCATTTTTAGACTGATGTTGTAGTAATTGCAGGAGAAATAATGTGTGACATTATAAAGTAAAGGTTTATTGCTGTCAAGCTTTATTTGAGTCATGTACTTTACAGAGACCCTTTGTATCACAGAGTTATTATAGCATCTGGTGTCAGGCCAGTAGTCCAGTAGTCATGTGCTAGACCATCCAATTTTGATTTAGTGTACATTCCAAAAATGGAAAGTAAAGTACTTGAAATGTGGCAAAAACAGCTAATTTCATAACTAAAACACATACTAGAAAATCATATTTTACAACAAAAAAAGTTATGGACAATATTTGTTAGATTCCAGTACAGTTGTAAAACATACAGTATCATTGTGGGAAACCTGTAGCTGGTTTATTCCTTAATGTGAAAGGAGCAAAATAATTGGAATGGCTTATTAGTAACTGTGTGCTTGCTTTCTAATAAATAGCAACCTGAAAATCAGCTACTGAGAAAAAGTAATTTTAGTAGAGGGAAACAGCTGTGCTGAATACATTTTTGTGGCTTCAAAATTTGGAAGTAAGAGGGCATCAAATGCTTCTGAGTCAGCAAAGCGCAAAAAACCTGTAGTCCTGGCTGGACTGCTGGAAGTACGAGAAGACCATACTAAAGCACCAAATGGCACTAAAATAAATCCCAGTGGACTTGACTTTAGTGCCTTAAGTGCACCCACTCATGAATGTTTACTTATTTAGGCTGATTAATGTCAGCCAAAGTGTCAGGTCAGGTCTCCTCCTTCTTTGGTTTCTGCCCCACCTCTTTAGATGTCTGTTGGAGGCCACTACAAACAAACTACTTTGTTTCATACCCTGAACTTTCACTTTGCTTTTTATAATATGCACCATCAGGCTTGTGTCAGTGTGTACACACTGTGGTTGACTCTCCTGTTACCTTTATCACCTACTGTCATCTTTATTATGGGTGAAAATCACTGAGTAACTCACGATACAAACTTAACAGTGAATTTCCTTCAAATTAAAATGCATAGTAATTTAGCTGTAGGTGGCCATAAATCTTAACAGTTAAGGCGCTCAAATAATGGCACATATCCAATAAAATAAATAAATAACACAAATGTAAGCAATGTAGTCTGATTCTCCATCATTAGACCCTGACCTGCTGATAATTCCTGAACTGCAGCTTGCGCTCGTTTATAGAGGGCAGGCACAACAGACTTGACTAAAATGCAGACGTGAAGGCACACTGTAGCAGGGCTCCAGCACTTTGAACATATGCTTTAATTCCGTGTTCTCTGTGACCCACAGTATACAGTATGCAAGTGTGGGCGGATATCCTCAGCGAAACATTCTATAGCACTAGTTAATACTTTGGCACAGTCTGAATCTACAGTGTGAGGCTGCCTGAACTCTGTGGGAAGAAGGACTCGCCTTCCAGTAGATTTTTGTCTTGTTCTTCAATCAACATATTCAGATTCATGGAGATACCGGCATATTCAAAAGTATTAGGAGTCAGCCTTAGAGCTCCCCCTCATAACATAATGTGAACTCAACAGAATGCACCTGCAGAGACCGCACTGGCAGCAGGTAATTGGAATAAAGTCACTCAAGGGCCTGACAAGTCGTTCAGTCTAGCAAGAAAGTCACCAAGTTGGCAACACTAAGCACATCACTGTGAATGTAAAGGGTGCGCTGGATTTATACTACAAGACAACAGCAGCAATGCATACAGAATGCAGCACAATCATTTTTTCTCTCTCTTGCATAACCCGTTAATTTTGCCAACCTGGTCTCACTCTGAACTTGTCACAATCCGGCTCTTGGTTGTCGACTTCTAGCATCAGACACCGACAAAAAAAGCTGTTCTTTTACTGTACATTGGCACGATAGGCGGCTGGTCACCATTATTGTTTAACAGCACCCGTTGGCATCAAGGGGACATGTGGCGGGACAACAATGAAAGTTTTAGGAAATTTGAGTAGGGTGGGCAAGAGGGGTGGTGGATGGGTCCACCAACCACCGACTCTCACCCAGGAGGCCAGTGTAAGTTTCCCGTAAGATTGTAAAGCCAAATCCTGTTCTTTTTTCCTAAACTCAAACACATGCGTATTTTTGCAAAACATAACCATGTGTGTTTGCTGTTGAAGGGAAAAAAAGGTCAATTCGCAGTGTTGTACCGACGTAGTGCATTTATTCTGAAAAAGACTGTATGCAAACTGTACATTTCCTGTGAAAACGGAAGCGTATTTTGAAAATAGAGAATGCATGTAACAGGCTGAAGTTGACACGGCGTCCCAGAACATCAACAACCAACACACCCAGACTCACCCAGGGTACCTTGCATGTTGTATGTTGACGTAGAAAGTCCATGACCAAACACCAATATGTGACAAGGTCAGAGTGAGAATGTGTTGATTTTGCTTGCCCAAGCTGTGTTGTAAAAGCCAAATGGGCCCAGTCTTTTGAATTAAGGATGATGGTGCCTTTCTGATTTGTTTTCCCCCACTGTCCAGCTCTACGCTGTGTGCCATAGATTCCTCCGGGAATGAGTCCTAAAACCCAAAAATGAGTTATCATGTTACTACTCATTGCTTCCTTGTCTCAAAGTCAGTGGGTTTTTTGAATGGGTTTGTGGTTAGATGCCTGAAATAAGTTCTGTGATTAACCCAAGCTGAAGAGACTTTAACATTTTGTTCTGCAACATAAAACACATCAGGATATTTCAGTCCTGTTTTGATAGAGGTATTAAAGTGATAGGAGATCTGTTTGAGGATAATGGTTTTCTTATGTCATTTTCAATGGTTAGAGACAAATATGGTGTAGATTAATTTTTTGCTTACCTCCAGGCTCGTAGCCTTATTAATGCAACTGATAAATCTTCTCAGATCAAGACTTTGTTAGGGCCATTCGAGAAATCTATCATACAGTATAAGAAAAATAAAGGGTTCATTTCATATTTTTATGATAATTTCGTGAACGACGACCAACAAAATATAGATAAAGTGATGGATCGATGGGAAAAGGACCTTTAAACGAGCTATGAAAAAGAAAACTGGAAAGAATGTATCCAAGAAGTTCACTCTCTGTTTTTATGTAATAGATTAAAAGAAATGCAATACCGGATACTACACAGACAACATATTACACCACATATCTTAAGTAGAATTGATTCCAGCAAGTCTCCCATATGTACCAAGTGTAAAATTTCTGTTGGAACGTATATGCATTATTTGTGGGAATGCTCAAAAATTGTCATATTTTGGTCAGGTATTCTTAAAGAATCGAGATTAATTTTGAAATGTAAGATCTGTAAAGATCCCGGACAGTTTTTATTAGGGCTGCCGTCAAAAAAAACAAATTATAGACACTCAAAGATCTAAGTTATTAAAGAAACTTCTTTGTTTAGCAAGGAGGTGTATACTTCTAAATTGTATTAAAGAAGAACCGCCATCAGTAACACAATGGTATAGAGAAATCCTTAGAATAATGCTGATGGAAAGCTAAACTCACAGGAAATGAGCACAACTTTACTAAGATATGGCAGCCACTAATAAATCACTTGCCCAAGCACCTTAGCGACACAATCCGTAAAGGGTATGACACAATGAATTGGAGAGTGCCTGAGGCAGTCTGATTTGATGATTTATTATTATTATTTTTTATCTCGTATTTGTTTTATTTCTATTTATTTATTTACTAACTTAGCATGAGTATGGACTGAACTTGGTTAAAAATGAAAGTGGGAAATAGAATATGCTAACAGAGATAAAGAGGTGTATACATAGATATAATCCCGAGAGACATGAACTATGTCATCCCATCTTATGAGTTTATTTTGAATTTTGTTTTGTAGTTTTATCACTGTTTTTTTTTTCTTTTCTTTTCTTTTCTTTCCCTTGTTTATGGGTAGTGTGTGATGGGTCTTGTTTGTTTGTCTTTGTTTTGTTTGGGTGCTTTATGTAATATGCCACAAATATGAAGGAATGGACTTGAAACAAAATGTTGTGGCTATTTTGTGTAAAATCAATTAAAAAAATAAAATAAATAAATAAATAAATAAAACACATCAGTAAATACCCCACTCACGAAGTTTGAAGCTTCAGTGTATCTCAAAAAAGGCGACTGCTAACAAATGGCTAAATGGGATACAGAGCATCACCATGCCAAGCAACACCGAACACGGCTTTACAGTCTTGTTATGGTGGTGACGTTAGGTCATGTGACCGTGGTGTAGTGTTTTTTATAGCCAAGTGTTAGCTTTTTACGTCTGGTGGTTACATGTAGGCTTTAATAATCATGAAAATACTGTTCATTTATGAAGATTATTATGCTGTGAGGTTCTTCACTGCAAGTTTGTTAACTTCCATTTACTTTGCCCTCTTTCATTTGATGTGCCACCACAAGGAGTCATGAAGTACTTGTAGTATTAGTAGTTGACTCTGGTGAATCATATTAGCAGGGGATTCCATTCAGAGCGCCTGTGTGTTTTAATAGAAATATTAATGTTTGGCACCAGAGTATCAATAACATATCACAGAGGAAGTAATATGATACATTCCCATATTGATATTTTGTCCATCCTTAATCTCTGTGATTGTTGTCAATACATAAAATTTGGTGACCTCAGCATACACTACTCCCCAAAAGTGGCCCTAACCAACTTCAACCAGGCGAGAGGTCTAATCAGTTTGAGTGACTAAAAATAGTTTGAACCCCTCCATCTATAGCAAAGTGTCGCAACATTTAAGTATGCACAATGCAAAACAATCTAAAAATGAAGCAACAACTGGAGAGAAGCTTTTATTATTAGTATTAGACAAATGTGTGGATGTAGCTGTCAGTTTAGAGGGAGGACTGATCATGTGTCCGTAACCTCCTGCATGCATGCATGTTAATGGCAT